TATATATATATATATATATATATATATATATAAGCTATTTGTTTCAAATATATATTTATTCTATTTTGGGTGTTTCAAATTGTGTAAAATATTTTATTGGAATTTCATTATTTTTTGCCAAATTATTTTAGCAATAATAGAGTTTCAACATTTTTTTTTTATTTCTTCTTTAGATGTCGTGGTTATTATTTTTTTTTATCTGGACAAATATATAAAAATAACTTGATTAGAATATTATTATCTTAGCCAAATAAAAATTTATAGGCAAAATAACATTGTTTCAAGTTTCTCTTTCAAAGCAAAGCAGCTCTTTACATTTCAACTCTTTTTCTTCCAAAGGAGGTGAAATAAGTTTGCAAAATTCACTGGGTTTTTGGTGAACAGAGAAGAAGAGGATAATAGAATTATACTGAAGGTATTTATTTTTCTCCTTGTTGTTTTACAGTTTATTCCTTTCCTTCTTTCTTACACCAATTCCTCTTTTCTTTATATATTGATTTATGCTCTCTTCGTCCTGATTCTTATTTGAGAAGGTGGACTTGGAATTTGGTAAATTAGCTAATTAAGGAATTGGGTTAGTTGAGAGGTCGATTAAACTCAATTAAAAGAATTTGAACTAGAGATAGAGATTTCCAACTAGGACAAATTATCAATAGACCTTAACGCAATCCTTGAAACTTGAGAAGGTTAAATTGGATTAAATTACTCAATATTGAGTGGATTAATTATATTGATTGTCATGACAACCCCAATAAATTAAGCAAGCTTAGTAGAACTACACCTATTAAGAACACCTAGGCTAGGGATACAACTAAAGGCCTTTTTCTTTGTTAAGTTACTCGTTAGTTAATTAGTGCATTTTAGGTGTTCGATAGATTGTTTTAATTTCAAGTCTTACTTATAATCAAAAACCATACTTTCTATTTAGGAAATTAATCTAAGTTTAGTAGGTTCTCATGCTTAGATACACATTTTTTCACCTCAACTCCTTATGGATTCGACCCTGGATCATATTGGGTAATTATACAATAACAAATCCAGTTTAATCCCATAAATGGGGTTTGGGGAGGGTAATGTGTACGCAGACCTTACCCCTACCTCATAGAGATAGAGAGGTTATTTTCGATAAACACTCGGCTCAAGGAACAATGAAGATAAAGCAACCAAGTAGCAAAGAATATTAGCAAAAATGTAACATGCTAACGGGCGTGAATGCCACACCATGCATAATAAAGAACCATAAATAGAAAATTACAAAAATAGTCCTAGTACTACTAAATGGCCTAGGAGGAACACACTACTATCTGTCAACTTACAACCCTAATGTTCGACCTCTACACCTTCCTATCGTGTGTCTTGTCCTCGGTAAGCTGAAACAATGACATGTTCTACCTAATCACCTCTCCCCAATATTCTTAGGCCTACCCCTTCCTTTCTTCAGATCCGCCATGGATAACCTCTCACACCTCCTCAATTGCTTTGTATCTCACATAGAGGTGATTTGGGCGTAGAAATGACATCAGGTAGTCATTCTAAAGGACTGCTATTTAAGAATTAGTCAGTGCGTCCTAAATTTCAGTTTTTCAGTTCTTTATACCTGAGTTGTCCTGAAGTTAAAATTTTTAATTTAAAATTTTATGACAAAATAAATATTGACTAATCTCTAAATAGCTTCCTAGAAAATAACTTTATTTGCACTTGCCCTAATTTGGGCGACATCAAAGACTTTCAAATCTGTTCATTTATTGTATAAGAGGACAATACAAGACGCACTACAAAAGGAAACCCCTCCCTCCCCCAATCCCCAAGAAAAGAAAAGAGAAAATAAAAGAAGAGTTATGGACTAATTAAAATGACAAGAAAGCAAACTAGACGATTCAGGAATGAACTACCGATTGCTGCAGCCATAGAACTGGCAAAATGTTTGCAAAGAAAGCAACAATATGAGCACTAGAGTTGTAAGAACGGTAAGAGACTTTCGAGATTTAAAAATATGCTTCTTGATGAATCTTTGAGCCTTGATTCTTAATATATTATCAAATTTCTCGTTTACCGACTCTATGATCATTGCTAATTCAGACTTCTCCTTATGATTTCCAGTTGTTTTAGGTAGCCCATTGAAGAGATCAGCAATTTCCTCATCACTCAAACTTCCTTTTATAATCCCTGATTTCTTCAATATTTCCACATCCTTTGGTGTGTTCACAATTCCACACATCAAATCCACGTACTCCGCCACCTCAAGTTTCCCATCTTGACCAGCAACAACTGCTTCTTATGCTACTAAGTTTCTCAATATCACTTCAGAATCAGAATTCAAAGTGATCTCAGGAAGATAAAACGCGCGTTCACCACCTTCCTCCTCGACAAATTTAATATCCTTGATGCCTCCTTCTGTGAGCTTAAAATTTATTTTAGCAGTTTCGTTTAGTTGTGTCACTGATGAGATTTTAATCTCATCTACTAAAGGCTTCTTTTTGTTGTCCTTCTTCTTGAACAAAACTTTGATGTGATCCCATGGCAAACCGGTAATGAAACTTATAAGGCCGAAACTAGCAGCAGTCTCCTCGACGCCGCAAAAATCTTCATAAGACACATTTGTATCATCTGATTCGATGATCAAATGGTGCAAATAAGCCAGCAAATGGGGACTATTGAAGCTACGGAATATGTTTTGATTTGTCAATTTGAGGGGAGAATGTGCCTTACAGAAGTAGAACAGCTCTGTAAATAAATTGTTATAAGATTGATTGATAGCCTTTTCGGTTTCAATCAGCACGAAAGATGGGATTTGATTCTCTAGCATCATAACATCTTGAGCCAACTTTCTTTGTTCAGCATCAACTTCTTTACGTGGAACATAACTGCTCAATAAATGCAACAAGTAGAGAGAATCAATGCTCAAAATCCATGCTAATGTTATGCCTTCAATATCCGAGTACTTATCATAGTACCCGCGAATAACTGGCACGACTGAGCTCAGCTTATCGATAACTTCTTCTGCAAAATGTTGGACCTCGTGATCATTCAAGCAACTTTTGGCTATGGTTAGCTTGTGCCTCTCAGTGACTAATAACTCCGGCCGGAAGTGATGGTATGGTCCGAGGCTTATTTTCTGAGGGTTATAAGCTTGAGGCTTAGTTTCAGTAAGTGTTTTTGGAACTTGAAAAACACAAGGTGTAGGTTCAATATCAACTCTCAATTCTGATTTAAAGGCTCTTATAGTTTCATTGACCCAACGTTGCTCATTAACAGTAGAACCAGTAATGGATTCTGTCGTCATTTTTTGTGAGAGGTTTAATTGAAGTAGAGATGTTTGAGCTTTGGTTTTTGTTTTTTTGGAAGGATTTTGGCTTTGGATCAATTGTGAAGTGATTCGACTCGTATGTTTATATAGTTTTTAAAGATTTGGACCATTTTGTTAGATTTGTATGTCATCCTTACTTCGTGGTGCCAAGGTGTTTTTTAATATTGATTTGAGATTTGGCTACTATCGGGTGAAGATTAGGGCATCGGATGTCCGTAAGACAGCTTTTCGGACTCGGTATGGCCAGTACGACTTCTTAGTGATGTCATTCGGCTTGACTAATGCCCCAACAACCTTTATGAATTTGATGAACCGAATGTTCAAGCCTTATTTGAATTCATTCGTGATTATCTTCATTGATGATATTCTGGTTTACTCTCGCAGTAGAGAGGAGCATGTTACGGGCATGCTCTATGGATTTCAGGGATCAATGGGACCAGCTTTTACCTCTAAAGGAATTTGCCTACAACAATAGTTATAAGTCGAGCATTCAGATGGCTCTGTACGAAGTTTATATCGGAGGCGATGTCGTTCGTCGATTGGTTGGTTTGAGCCCGATGAGGATAGATTTATTGGGCATTGATCTGGTTCGTGATACTTTGGAAAAGGTTAAGGTGATTCAGGAGTGACTTCGTACAACTCAAGTGTTATGCGGACCGGAAGATTCGAGATGTGGCTTACATGATGGGTGAGAAGGTTCTTCTCTGAATGCAGGGTTCTGCTAATCTTCTCTGTATCGTTTGTATACGGTCGAAATCGGGCATACCCGATTTCGTTGGCAAGGGAGTTGCCCCGAGGGTAACCTCATAATAGATCGGGCTTGAGTTCGAAGATAAAACATCAAACCTGGAGATCGAAGTGTTCATTGAGATCGAGGCCAACAACAATCAAGATCAAGCATGAATGACATCGAGTAAAGCGTAATAACGGAATGTCGAAATATCATTAATCGGTCGAAGATCACAGCGAAAATCCCGGAACACATCAAATCAAACGGTTATTAGTGTCAATCATGAGATCTACTTTCGCTATTAGAGTTGTACCTTATTTAGGATTCCTCTATTATATAAAGAGGGATCCCATTCACTTGTAAGCAGAATAATCATTATTCACTGATAAGAATATACATATATGTAGTTTTCTTTGTTTTACTTACTGTTCATCATTGTTCATCGTTGTTTGTTCCATCCTCTATTGTTCTATTTACTAACCTCGAGACTATCTCGAATCGAGGTCGAGACATTATTTGCAGACCGGTTTGATTTATTTTATTGTCCAATTTATCTATTTAATTCGTTGTTTATTAATTGGTACTAGGTTAAATCACATATCCTTAAAACCACAATATAAGTTTAATTGTTACTTAATTTTTAGGGTAAACATCGTTACAAGGGACAATATAGTGTTGATGCGTTAAGACATTTTACAATTGTTAATGGTAATAATTAAAGGAACTGATGGATGTGTTTCAGACCAAACTAATTAAGCTTGCCTAAGCATACACGTTATTACGTATGCACAAGCAATGTTATTTAAGTTTAATGTCACTATACCTTGAAATTTTAGGTATCTTACTATCTTTGAATTTTAGTTCGGTGAATTAATATTATACTGTAACTAGTATATGTCACCTCTATAACTGGACTACTCTATTCTATATTCGAAGACTAAATTGAACTACACTTCTTGTTTGGATAAAATTGTACTTACCAAGTAATATTTTTAACAAATAATATTTCTTGGGTTTTCCTCCTGCTAGGGCACACATGATATCTGATCACTGTTAAGATATATTATTTGAAAATTAAAGTTGGAGTGTTAATATCTAAAATTGCATTTACTTGATTGGTTCTTTCGCTTTCTTAACTTTGTAATTAAGTAACTCACAGTGTTTGGTCAAAATTTTCAACATTTCTTTATATCCCTCTTTCTCCTTATCAAGCAATGACGTGAACGAAGAATTCGGAGTCAACTTATTAATTGGTCTAAGAAATTTTTTCTTCTTTAGCTTTGAGGAAATTGTTTTCCCTTCATTTCGGCAAACATTTTATCAAAAAAAAAAAAAAAAATAGTCAAGTATTTAGCTAGTGCAAAGTTTGAAGAATTATCTTCGGAGAGTTTGGAGTACTATATCCAGTTTCTTTATTATTTACATGCTAACGAAAATAGTATGAGATATCTATTTTTTAATTTTTCCCTGATTTAAATAAAANTATATATATTTTTAATTATTTTTTGATAGTCCAAACAGTGTATTTATCTTAAAAATTCATGACACATACAAATTATTAATTTAAAATTAAGTAACTTAAAAAGACTAGAATCTCGAATATGTAACTTTCTAATCCCGGCTCTGCCATTGAATTCAGTGATTCAAGCATTTTTACTCCAGGGGTGACTCAAGGAGAAGACTAATAAAGCCCTTGGCCCAAAATTTTAAGGTCTTAATAGAGACAAAGGAAGTATCTTCATTTTCTTATCGTTGGGAAGTTACACATGATACTTAGTAGGAGTTCTTTCTTTTTTCAAGAAGAAATTTTATTAAATTAGGAATTAGAGAAGAATAATGAAGTAGAAGGAGAACAGAGAGAATTGAACACATAGCTATTGTGTATGAAACTTTTAACGATACCATTAGACTATAATTCTTGATTTGTTAATCTGTAAGTCGATAAAGTCCTAATTTCAGGGTACGGTGTTGAGGTTTCACATATCTGAAAATTTCAAACTTCATGAATTTTTCCTAGAGTTTAAACTGAAAAATGTCTAAACTTCGGTACTCATTTTTGGAATTTTTCGTGTTTTAGTGGGGTGATATTATTGTTCAAATTTTATTTCTAATAAAGAATAGCTATCTTTTGGTTACATTTCAAATACTGACTAAACTCTAATAGCAGGGGTTAAAAATGATTATTTTCCAATTTCTCAAACGTTGTTGGTTACATATATACTTTCGTTATAGTTTCAAATGCATTTGTTTCAAAAGCATGCGAATTGTTTTTTAACCAAGCGTTTATTTTAGTTTTTCCGAAAGCTAAAAGACCACTCGCTACTCTAGATGTGTTATAAACTTTTTACAAAAACTTTTCTATAATATTGTTTGATAAACAAAAATATTTGAAAATTTTGAAAGCTTTACAACAAAATTTTCAAAACAAACACCAAAAGAACACGGTAAGCACACGGTTTATGGTCATTTGTAATGTAAAAAATGTCGTTGACATATGTCGTTATCATTTTGATAAAGTTTTCTATTATCAATCAATTAATTTTTCTATTCTTCGCCAACTCATAGTTGTTGTGTTCTTTTAATTTTAGTGGCCCCTCCAAAAGCACTTTTCAGTGAATTTAGTTCGTTAAGATATTCAATTATTTGAAAATCTAAAAAGTTGAAAAAGATGTCAAGGCAATTGCATTAAATAAATATCACCTGTGATAATCAAATAAATTGTACAAATAATAATAAAATTTCTTTATACATCAATAAATATACGTAACGCTCTACGCTCTTTTAAGAAAAGCGCCCTAATCCAATTCTTAATTATGTACCTACATCGCAAAAGTTTAATTTCCTTCATAGAACAGGTCCTAATTAATTATAATCAAAATCTTGAAAATAGTCAATCAAATTAAAGTTGTAATAACTGAACAAACCAAGATTGGCCCACATGTGTGGTGGAATAATTTGGGTGAAATTCAAAAATAGCCAGATTTACAAGTGGTAATTGAAAAATAGTTACATTTTCAAAAGTGATCGAAATTTAGCCACTTTTCATGTAAAGATAAATCTGAACAAAAACACTGTTCAAAATCCGGAAAATATTCTAGCATAATATGATGGAGCTCGAATTTTTTACATGTGAACTTCCAGCATAACATGCTGAAATTTTATAATGTGTTGGGGTTCCAACATAATATGCTAGATCCAATCTCCAATATATTAATTATGTTGGAACTTTTCGTGTGCTGAAGTTCTATCATAATATGCTGGAAGTTCATACACAGGTGCTCCAATCTCCAGTATATTATGCTGGAATTTTTCGTGTTGCAGCAAAATAGTGGCTATTTTTCAATGACTTTGCAAACGCTGGCTATTTTTCAATTACCAGTCTGAAAACTGGCTAATCCGTGCTATTTTAACAATAATTCGGATCTCATTATTAACCAGAGTCTCGAGTTCGAACCCTAAAACTAAATGACTTCTTGTTAGGGAGCCCTTTACCCCCTTAAAGGGCCTATCTCCCACACGAATCCAAATTGGTGGTCTCAACTTCTAACCCTAGGAACTAAGAACTTCTTGATGGGGAGCACTTTACCCCCTTAATGGACCTATGCAACGCGAATCCAAATTGGTGATCTTGTATTCGAACCCTAGGAACGGAAAATTTCTTGGTAAAGAGCGTTTTTACCCACTTGGTAAGCCTACCCGACGCGAATCAAAATTAGTAAATCAGTAAACTTCCAATACTAAATGGTTATACCACAAAAAATTTAAACAAACTAAGGCTACCAATGTAATTTCTCAAAGCAAAGAAAATTCTATATAAACGCAAACCTAGAAAGAATAAAATGGTTTGCTTCACAAACAAGTGTCAACCACTTCCCTTTTCTTCATTTTCACACTCTCAAAAAGAAACCTTTGAATACTTTGCCATGGCTTCTTCAAAATCTAATACACTAAAACGTATTTGTACTTGTTCTCCTACTACACATCCAGGTTCTTTCAGATGCAGTCTTCACAGAAATGTTCGAAAATCATCAAAAAATAGTTCATATTCAACAAGTTCTAATTGGGAATTGGCAAAGAATATGGCTAAAGGTAACTCTTTGAAATCTTTGCTTCTTCAAATTATACAGCCTTCTAGCCATGATCTTCAAAGAAGAAGGAATTTCCAGCCAAAACCTTCTAGGTTTTTTTTGGTTGAATAACAATCGAGATGGTGTTGCAGTTTCTTGATTACAACAAGCATTGAGAGCTAGCTCGAGATTTTTTCTTTTTTTCTTTGTCTATTTTTCGGTAGGAGATGGAGAGTTTTGGAGAAACGGTAAAGACGTAAAGTTGTCTCCGCTTGACCTATAGGTCATGGATTCAAGTAGTGGAAGCAGTCGTTAATGCTTGTATTAGGATAGATTGTCTACATCACATCCTTTAGGGCGCAGCCCTTCTTCGGACCCTGCGTGAATGTGTGATGCCTTGTGCGCTACACTGCCCTTTTTCTTTTTTAATTGTCGATGGGCAAAGATATTTGCTATTATGATGAAAAAATAGCAGATATCTGATGGAATAGTCGTGGTGTGCACATGAATGTAACACTAAATATCCTTGTAAATTTGAGTTATAAATATTTTTTGCTATCAATATGTAGATTAATCTATTATGGTAGGATAATTTTCGTGCTTATCAAGTTACCAGTTAATACTCCATATAATAAAGATTTACCTGTATTTGCTTTGTACAAGTCATGACATGATTGTGTAAAATATGTTTCTACATTGTTGGAACTTTGTTTTTTCTTCCTCTTTTTACTTTTCTGTAACTTTAATCCGATTACAAAATTCAGTTGCGCAACTCACAAATCAGGTAAGCTTAAAAATTTAGCTTTTAAGGTTTCAGCGTGAAGAGAAAACAAAAAAAAAAGTGTCATAAAAACAACAAAAGTAGAGTTTTATTGTTACATAACAATAAAACAAAAGAAAAAGTATATGTACTGTAGTCTCAAGAATTTTTACACAATTAGCGGAGGACGAATTAATATTTAAATTTGATGGGTTAGACTTTCAAGGTTTTTAGTATGCTTTTAAAATTATAAATTCAAATTTAATATTTATTAAAATTTTAATAATTTTTCGTATATATCTATACTATGTGTCGAAAATATTGGGTTGAGCCGCTGCACAAAAACAGAAAAACTGCATCCATCACTATAATTCGACTTGATTATGAATGGTAAATAAAAATTTTATAACTGTGGATGCGTAGAAATTAAGCCCAATTATGAAAATGAAAGCTAAACCCCGTAGTCATCTTGCCTTTAGGTTCTTTCCAATATCTTGGGATTTTATCCACCAACTTGTGAAGCCTAAGTATGAACAAGACTAAGGGCAATTCGGTGCGCTAGTCATTTCGCATTTATGCAGGGATTAGAGAAGGACCGCATCCCAAGAAGTAGTGGCGTACATATGATTTTTGATAAATTGTGTCACAATTTAAATAAGTGAACAAATCACTATTTGACAAGCGGTGTCATTCGTTATATTTATCCCCAATATTTTTATTTTTCTTATACATATCTAGTAAAAAATTTCAATAAAATTGTATCTAGTGACACCGTATAGAACAAGACTATGCGCATTATATACCTAATATCTTCAAGACATTAAATTTATTGTTTCAAAATTCAAACTCTTTCAATACACAACGAAATACAAAAAGAGAAAATGCAAATCAAGAGTGAGAATCAAAAAAGATTAGCACAAGATATGACCTGATAGTTGACAGAAGCATCTATCAGTAGCATGACATATAATTTACGGTAAAGGGCCAAATATACCCCTATATTTTTGAAAATGATCTATGAATACCCCTCGTTATATTATTGGATTATCTATACCCCTGCACTCATACTTTGGGTTCAAATATACCCCTCATTTAAATGGAGGGACATGTGTCATCGTCCTGTTGGCCAATTCTAAATATCTCCTAATTAATTAAAAAGACTCATTACCCATACCCGGAAAGCAATTTTTTAAAGCAATTTTTATTTGTAAAAACTGAAAAAAACTGAAATTTCTTACTAAAAACTGAAAAAAACGAAAAAATAATTTTTTTCCCAGTTTTTACAAAAAACTGCTTTAAAAAAATAAAAAATATTTTCTAAAACAATATTTTTGTAAAAACTGAAAAACAAATTTTTAAAGCAATGTTTTTGTAAAACTGGAAAATACAAAATATTTTTTTCCAGTTTTTAGAAAAATATTGTTTTAAAAAAACTGAAAAATAACTTCTAAAGCAATTGTTTTTGTAAAAACTAAAAAAAAAACTGAAAAGCAATGTTTTTGTAAAAACTGAAAAAACAAATATTTTCTTTTTTCAGTTTTTAATTAAAAATATTTTATTTTTTTTCAGTTTTTAATTGCTTTAGAAAATTACTTTTTAGTTTTCTTTTTCCAGTTTTTACAAAAATATTGTGTTAGAAAATATTTTTCAGTTTTTTTTAAAGCAGTTTTTTTGTAAAAACTGGGAAAAAATTTGTTTTTTTCAGTTTTTAGTAAAAAAAACATTTCAGTTTTTTCCAGTTTTTACAAAAAAAATTACTTTAGAAAATTGTTTTTTGACTATGGGTAATGGGTCTTTTTAATTAATTAGGAGATATTTAGAATTGGCCAACAGGACGATGACACGTGTCCTTCCGTTTAAATGAGGGGTATATTTAAACCCAAAGTATGACTGCAAGGTATAGATAACTTAATAGTATAACGAGGGATATTCTTAGACCATTTTCGAAAATAAATAGGTATATTTGGACTTTTGCCGTATAATTTGCATGGAGAAGTTCCAAAATTATGGGTTCCCCACCATGTGGAAAAATAATACTCCACTATTTAATTGTATATACATACTTTTCAAACAGTTGTTGTATTCTTTTTCTACTTTCAGCCTCAACCCACAGGACCACAAAACAAGTGGATCCTATTTATTGGGTTTTTATAGAATAAGCTACTTTACGTTTTATTAAAGATTAAAGATTAAAAAGGGAGATGATGACAAAATGAAGTTCTAATTTCAAAATCACAGCTCTAACAAATAATTAATTAAGCCATTATATAAAAAAGATATAAATTTTTGGTTCATTTTTGAGAATAATATTGCAATGCCATTCATGTTTTGGTCCCAATATTCACATTCGCACTAAAGACTACTTTTGACAAGTTGAGGTAGAAGACTGAGACATTAACTTAAATTTATTGAGGCAATTAATTAATATGCTAATGCTAAGAGAATTTATTCTTTCGTATTCTAATAAATCAAAACGTGTAATTAAAGATCTTGCTTAATCACTTGAGAAGACATTTAGTCGGATTTAGACTTCTGATACCGGGTTCAACTGAACTAATAATTTTCTACGTGGAGTATTAATATAATTATGTGTAAAAATTTATTAAAATTGCAACAAATAATATATTTGAACCAAAATTTAAAAAATATAAAAGGGTTCAATCGTAATAAACTTAAAGGTTAAACCTATATAATTTAAATTCTGGATCCGTCTCCGTGAGAAGTATCATGTCTACACGCAACTTGATATAGGCCACCTATATTTCTAGAATTTGAATTTTATATTCTGACTATGTAAATGAATTTTTGCACTATCAAACTATTTAAAAAGTAACTAATTAAATGTAAATATCCGCATTAAGTTGGATTTGCATCTTGGAAAATAAGGCAAACTATATACCTACTAAAACAGGTTTAATATACTAAAAGTGTAAGAAACATTATATGCAGTTAATTGTATATAAGTTACATACATATTTTTATTATTTTATGATTTTTGGTTCTAAAGGCATTAACTCAATCGTGTTCGTATTGTCATCACCTAACATAACATAGGGAGATTTGAATTAATTGTCTATTACAAATATTATTTTAGTTATTTGAACTTTTTTTTAAGGAGACAAGTGAAAATTAACACAAAAAGATCTGCAAAAAACAAAGGAGATCATTTCCTCCGTTTAAGAATATCAAGATATAGGTGATTACAAAACCTGAATGTTAGTACTAATTAGTAACCAACTATTAAAAAATCATATAGCATCTATAATTAATCAACGTGAATAAGTCTTATTATAGTATTAATTATAACCGGTATAGGAATACTACTAATTATTCTGGAAATAATTCAAAGCACATTTGACCAACTTGTTTGATACAAGTTGCCAAGTCTTGTGACAACTCATAATTTAATACGTTTAAATTTTGGTCAAAGGTGGATACTATGCCAACACTTTGCTAACATCAAATGACTTAAGTTGTATATTTTGACCGTGTAAAAAAAAGTAAGTTTTGCATATAATTGTGCAATTTAATTGGTTATAATAAGTAATTAGTCTATTTTTAAGTTCTCATATCGAACTTGCTACTAAGAATTACATGTCATTGTTAGTCAATTTAACGTGATAATTGTAAAAAAGCTATACGTTGTGACTTGAGTACAAAAAACTAATTAAATTTAATTCAATAAAATAAAATCTATAGCGATTGAAAGTTTTTAATAGGTTTAATTTTATGAAACAGCTAGTTTCTTTTCCTGTAAAAGAAATTGATATTGTCTTGCTATTAATTAAGCCACTTCAATTCAATTCTAAAGTAGTAATGAAGTTTGGTCTGTTGTTCAAATTTGAGAAAGCTTATATGGAAAAGTCAAGGTATCTCATTCAAATTAATTTGAGAAAACTTATATGGTAACTCTCAAAACTATAACCAGACGTGGATTCAGACTTTGAAATTTATGGGTTCATACATCGATCTCAAGTTAATAACTGGGTTCAGAATTAAATATTTATAAATATTTAATAAATTTTTCAATACATATACAAGCCTCGGTAAAAACTACTAATTAAGTTCCTGGGAAGCCGCATATTTTCCTCTAGAATAACACTTCTCTATAACAACATCCCTATATATATAACAACACTTCTCTATAAAAGCCAAGTTTTTTCGAAATCAATTTTTATGTTATGTTATAATATATGTTCTCTATAACAATAATTCGCTATAACATCCAAAAATATTCGAAACAAATAAGATTGTGATAGAGAGGTTTGACTGTATTACAATACTATTTTTCGTCAATAAGCCATCACTTTGACTGGAATCAAGTTTTTGATAGAAAACGCTTTATTTATATTGAGTTATTTGTTACGGATTC